TCTTATCTCGGAAACTAAAAGGATTTGAGCATTCATATTAAGAGGCAAGAATTGAGACGCCTGGGTGTACGCTGACAATAAGGTTGTATCTTCATCAAGTTAGTAGTTTCAAATTTTCTAATTAGTAGAATTTCTTTGTAGATAAGTTCTTTGAGAAATTTTGAAAAAATCGAAAAACGTCACATCTCGGAAACTAAAAGCATTTGAGCAGTCGCGATTAGCAGTCGCACGTGGCAAGATTTGCAACTCTTTAGAGTACCCTGACAACACTGAACTATAGAGTTGGGAACTTCAAACTTTGAAAAATAATTATTTTCAACTTTCTGAAAATTTTGAAAAAATCCCAAAAAACGTCACATCTCGAAAACTACAAAAAATTGAGCAGTGATATTTGGAGGCAAGATTTGCAATCCTTGAGAGTACTTTGACAGGACCTAACTACAGGGTTGGGAATTTCAGATTTTTAAAGAATAGAAATAATTTACGTTTTCTGAAAATTTTTGAAAAAAATCACAAAAAACATATCTCAAAAACTACAAAGAATTGAGCAGTCATATTTGGAGGCAAGATTCGCAATCCTTGAGAGTACTCTGACAGGACCTAACTACAGGGTTGGGAATTTCAGATTTTTAAAGAATAGAAATAATTTAAGTTTTCTGAAAATTTTTGAAAAAAATCACAAAAAACATATCTCGAAAACTACAAAGAATTGAGCAGTCATACTTGAAGGCCAGATTCGAAATCTTTGACAGTACTCCGACAGGACCTAACTACAGGTTTGGGAATTTCAGATTTTTAAAAACTAATAATAATCTTAAGTTTTCTGAAAAACTTTGAAAAACTCACAAAAAACGTCATATCTCGAAAACTACAAAGAATTGAGCAGTCATATTTGGAGGCAAGATCCGCAATCCTTGAGAGTACTCTGACAGGACCTAACTACAGGGTTGCGAAATTCAGATTTTTAAAGAAAAAAAATTCAAGTTTTCTGAAAAATTTTGAAAAAATCGCAAAAAACGTCATATCTCAAAAACTACAAAGAATTGAGCAGTCATACTTGGAGGCGAGATTCGCAATCTTTGAGAGTACTCCGACAGAGCTAACTACAGGGCTGGGAATTTCAGATTTTTAAAAACTAATAATAATATAATTTTCTGAAAAATTTTGAAAAAATCACAAAAATGTCATATCTCGAAAACTACAAAGAATTGAGCAGTCATATTTGGAGGCAAGATCCGCAATCCTTGAGAGTACTCTGACAGGACCTAACTACAGGGTTGCGAATTTCAGATTTTTAAAGAAAAAAAAAATCAAGTTTTCTGAAAAATTTTGAAAAAATAGCAAAAAACGTCATATCTCAAAAACTACAAAGAATTGAGCAGTCATACTTGGAGGCGAGATTCGCAATCTTTGAGAGTACTCCGACAGAGCTAACTACAGGGCTGGGAATTTCAGATTTTTAAAAACTAATAAAAATATAATTTTCTGAAAAATTTTGAAAAAATCACAAAAATGTCATATCTCGAAAACTACAAAGAATTGAGCAGTCATATTTGGAGGCAAGATCCTCAATCTTTGAGATTACTCTGACAGGACCCAGCTACAGGGTTGGGAATTTCAGATTTTGCGAAAAAAAAATTAATATAAGTTTTCTGAAAATGTTTTGAAAAAATCACAAAAAACGTCATATCTCGAAAACTACAAGGATTTGAACAGTCATATTTGGAGGCAAGATTTGTAACTCCTTAGAGTACTCCGATAGCACCCAACTACAGGGTTGGGAACTTCAAGTTTTGTAAATCTTTTTGTTTTTTCGAAATTTCTGAAAATTTTTGAAAAAATCTTAAAAATCGTCTTATCTCGTTAACTAAAATGATTCGGACATTCAAAATTGGAGGCCAAATTTGCAACCCCTAATTCGATATTGGGCTGCTTAATCTAAACTCGGTAAAATAACCACTAAAATCAAATTGGAAAATCGAAAAAATTCTTAACCATTGCAATATACGATATAGCTTAAACATGCAAAAATAATACGTTGAAAAAGCTTAAACATGGCGAGATAGTGAAGCCCGCATTTAAATATATAATAGATTACACATATTGCCTCTTGAGAGAAAAAGTAAAAATTCAACTACTCTTACATAGTATTAACTTTTGTTTGGCATATGATATAAGAATTAAGAATCTGTGTTGGAGCACCGTGACTGATTTTCAACTGTGCAATAACAAACGGTGTGTTGACCAAAAAACGATGAAAAAAACACGGACAGGTTGCAGGGGAAAAAGATGGCCAGAGTAAGATGTTTCCCCTATTTTGCCCCTTTTAAGAGAACTCAGGCAAAATTTGAAAGATCATATAGCCCATAGCACTCTTCGTATTCATATGTACTTTCACGGTCGTGCAATTATAATGCTGGGGGTTCACGGTCTCGGACAAACACACTGACACACGCACAAACTTCGTTCTTTTTCAGTTGTATAGATTAACATATAAGTGCAATTAATTCTTGCTTTTAAATGGCATAACTAGAATCTCAAGTTTTAAAACATAGCCAATCGAAGATCGGAAAAGCTAAATGAACGCAAGTTAACATGAAAAAACACTGACTTTGTTGAATAAACTCAACTTTCGAAATTCATAGAAAAAAATAGATGCCCTTAAAGCTATTTGAATTTCTAGAACGATTTATAATTGGCATTTAATTTGATAACATTAAGCCAACTTGAGAAAACTGTAACAACATTAAAGTTTTTATTCCGCTGGAAATTTAAAAAAATAAATTCCACTTTCGAAACTAGAAATCGTCCAAGATTTTTCCGCCATTTCCACGTTCGTATTTAGAGAGTGCTATTTATATGACTTTCAGCAGATAAATTTCAATTGAACTCAAAAAAGCATATATACCTAAGTGCATTCATAAATTCATTAATATTAAGGAATGCACATCTAGGATTATTAGATACTTTAAGACATTTTCCTGAAAAAAAATCAGCAAGACCTATATAAGAATCTTCCCGACGTTCATTACTCTTAGACAAGGACATACAATGCTTTAAACAAAAGCGTTGTTTATGAAAATGTAGATAAGAACAAGGAAAACAAACACACTGACACGCGCGCAAACTTCTTTCTTTTTCAATTGTACTAGCAAGCCTTTCCTCCAGTAATCAATCAGCTCGCAAAAAATAGTTTTTTAAGCTTAATGTTTTCTAAGCAAGCTATTCAAGCTGTGAAACTTCAAAAATTTTCAAGTTATTTTGTGGACCGAGTCGGTACGCGAAAAGTTTCCGTTTTTCTAAGCAAGCTTCATAGCTATAAAACTTTGAATGATAAAGCTATGAAACGAAATAATTATATTTAATTCATGGATCGAAACGGTTTTCGAAAAAAAAATTTCTCTGCATGGAGGTTGCTGTTTTCAGTTTATTCGTTTCGAAAAAATTTTGGACAAAATAGGCAAGTACTGTCTAGCCTTGAAGTTGGATCGAGTTCATTTTTCTCTGATGGTTGCTTTGAATGATTCTTAAACGTTGTGCTCGATAGAAAAGTTGAAACGTTGCGACCATAGCGCATTAAGACTTTCATTTAATATATAAGATAGATTAACATTTAAGTGCAATTAATCCTTGCTATTAATTGGCATAACTAGCATCTCAAGTATTTTTAATAAAAAGGACTTACAACACTTTTAACAAAAGCTTTGATTAAGTAATTGCAGATAAGAACAAGGATATCCGGTTGCTGTGCAAGTAGCAGAGAATGCTTCAACCATAGTCTGAAAAAACACAAACTTTTCAAATTATTGTCGTTTTTTCGGCGTTATGTGATAAAAGGAGCTGAACAAAAAAACTGGGGATTAAGTATATTCGACAGCCATACTAAAATAAGCAAATTGAAATTTAATATTTGTAGGAACTAGAAAAACGAAAAAAAAAATTATAAAGCTTTTTGCATTTTTGAATTTGAAAGTTTTGATTCCAAAAAGGCGCTTAAATACTCAGATTAAACTAATGTTACCCAGGTGTAAAATTTAATTTATTTTAATCTAACCGGTTTCTCTCGAAACTGGTAAACATTTTTACAAATAATTTTATGTCGTTCGAATCACGATTAAGGGCTTTAATATGATATATCACTCAACCCAGTCCGATCATTATTTGTGGTACTTAATTTTGTGTGGAAAACTTAAACAGACCCGAATGCAAAGTTCCTCCCCATTTTCACCGGTCGGAACAACAGATAATCCGAACCTATTTTTCTGACAATTTCTGAAAATAAGATGTTCGATAAAGGAGTTTGCCTTCTTTTAACAAAGGAAATGAGTTGAACATAGAAAAATCCAGAAGTTCAAACGCGAAAAATAAAAACCATAAGAAAATAAGCCAAAACATTAGAAAATCACTTGAGAAATTTACCCTCGCGCTAGTGAATTGATTTATCGCATTTTAAGAAACTAAGCAAACAGCAAAGATAAAGATCAAAAGGTATAATTAAAGACAGTTCAAAAATGTCAAAAAACTGAAGACTGAACCAAAATCCTGTCTTTTTTAAGCCCTGTCTTCATAATCTTTGCTTTTCAAAAATCTTTTTGATTGATTTTTTTGCGAAAAACTAACCCCATTAAAAACACCTGATCAAATAATGTTTTTACAACTGAGAAATCTTAAACCCAAAATTTACTTTTGAATCTATAATTCAAGATGTTTTCTTTTCGTGCCAATGCTGCTTTTGTTATTTTAAATAAGTTTGAAGAAAGCTTTAAAAGAAACAAAAGGTAAGACCACCATATTTAAAAATTGATAAGGAAGAGCTTTTACGAGCTCATGACCTAAATATGTTGATTCAATTATTTCAAAAAACTAAGGTCCAATGCTGATTTATGCACCAAACTCTACTCGTAACAAATATCAGCGCTGGAGAGCAAGGAAACTTCGCGCAGGACCCTACAGCTTCAGTTTAAGGTAAATTATTTTATTTTTTTATTTCGAAAAAACAATCAGTACTGATTTTTAATTCTAAGATAAATCGATTTAAAACACAACCAACGATGATATGTATACAACAGGACTGGTGAGTCAACAGAACAAATGTATATTTTGGAAACAGCGAGAAAGTCATCAATATTTGGCGGCTATCAAAAACCTCAGTGCACTATCATAAGAGAGCTCTTTTAAAAGTTAAACCTTGTTAGCACCTTGGTTGATATTTTATCAATCAAATTAAATAATATCTTACACCTGTAGAACTAATAATACAATGGACAGTAGTTTTCAAGTGCGGGAGCTTTTATGGAAATAAATAATAAACATTGCACTTCATGAAGATTTAAGATTAAATGAGAGCTCTGTAGGTGGAAAAAAATTGAACACCGGATAAAAACTAAAACCCATCAAACTGAACCGAGAAAACGATATGACATCACAAACATAATAATGCGATAAAACATTGTGAGGTAAAATTGAGAGCACTGTCACTTTTCCTACAATATTTTTGGAACCCTCTTCAAAACCTGTCACAATTAAGGATGATTATCCACAATAAGTCTGGTCTCATATTCGTCTTTTTTTATGATTCAGATCGTACTTCTACTGCGAATCTGAATATTAAGACACCATCTACCATCAGCACTTCAACTGTATGTGTAGGTATCGCATCTAGCTATAGAGTAGGTTTATTTCGCCACTGTTGATTTGGGTTGCTTGGGTCGCATGGTCTCAATTTGATCTTGCTCGGCTGAGTTGAGAGTTGCTCCACACATGTGTTACCCTTGATATTCTTCAGCTGTAGTGTTTCCTGAAAATTTGAGGGTTATAATACATACAACATGGAAAGAAACAACGCTTAAATAAGTAACATTAGCAAAAAAGACTAACTTTGTAGGTCAAAGAACAAATCAAACTTTTATTTTAGAAAAATATTTCCGCATAGAAATTTTGAAGTGGTTAAAACGCTTCAAATCTCTTAGCTCGCGCAGACAACGAGAGTTGAAGTGATGTGTATATTTTCCCGTATCGTACTTCAAAAGTTTCTTACTGGATAACTAGCCTTAATTTTATTTTACTGGCTACAGAAACTAGAAAAACATAACTAGTTTTTGTATAGGTAGTTTTTTTTCTATTTTTTGTCTTGTTAAAACATCCGAGAATTAGCTTTCAAAACGTCTGTTTTTACCGCACAAAAGCTTGTTCATTTTAAAACATTTAATTCGGCCCAAACGCTTTAGATAATTGAAGTTTATCGAAAACTTTTTCATAAAAACATTTATCAACCAAGAACGATTCTTTTGTCGCAAAAAAGTTTTAAAAACGACCAAAAAACTTTTAAAAAATCACTTCAAAAAAGCGCGCCACAATAAAAAAAATTTTGGAAAAGAGATCTTTACTCTGACATAGCTATGCCAGACATTGACCAGACATAGTTATGCTTTTGATCCCTCAATTTTGGACAGTTAAAAGTTTTTGATTGGTTGGAAATTTCCGCGCATTGGGACCTCTTTCTGTCATAAGAATAGTCCTTCACTTATGTGGATGCGTGTGTAAGTGACCTTATTGTATTCCCAAATGAAGAAGTCTTGAGTGCCGTGGCAGAATACATTGACGAGGGTGTCTCCTCTGGCATTGGTGCAGTGCTCATTCCACCTCAGCTCCTTGCCCTCTGTCACTCTCCACGCCTAGATAGAAAAATAAATGAGAACTAATAAACAGGTCGATCTCTTTACCTACACCAAAGGATCCATTTTTGAAAGGGGGTTCGTTACTACTACAGACAGAACTTAAATACGCCAAACCGTTCAAATATTCTTTTACGAAGGTGGATATCGTTACTATGCACAACGTGGGCAATTGTTAAGCTCAAAGCTCCTCATGCTTTTTCGACACCAGAAACTACGTATTTTTACTGCACATCCAATCAGGGCTTTTACACCTTGATGCATCATTCGACATATTATATGACGTCTATTTGTGACACCTGATTTTTTTTGGTGGTTGCCACAAAAACTGTATAAACTGATCTTCTACAACGTCATTTCGGAGTAATAAACATAAGTTGGCAACACGGCAAAAGACCCTGTGGAGTAATTTTAACGCCTGAAAAAATGGCAACAGAGGCATATTCAATTCTAAGGCATCTAAAAGAGATGAAATTGTCTCATGATCTTTTCGAGCCAGCCTCATTCCAAAACCTTTAAGATATTTCAAAAAATTTGGCTGCCAGTGAATGTGTGGCTGAAAACTGTAATAAAAACAATAAAATGAAGTTAATTGAACGCAACAGATAGGTTCGTCTTAGTGTAGCTGATAATTTCATGTAAAAAAAACCGGAAAACAAAAATATTTTTGTTTTTGAAAAGAGCCAGTGAAAATTTATCCGATTTTTAATCTCGTTTAAACCGTTAATCTTTGAAAAACCTCGTTTTAACCGTTAATCTTCGAAAAACTCAATTTCAAGTTCACCATCTGGTAGCTATATACTACTAGCCACAAGCTGAGTAAAATTTCAGGATGCTCAAAAAGCATTATGGCAAAATTTCATACTAATCTGCCTATTAGAGTAGATTATCTGATGTCAACTCCACAGACGTCATGCACAGAGGTGAAGCGGAGCTTCGCACCACTTGCGATTAAACACAAACATAAAAAACACAAGTCGAAAAAATGGAAACCGTTGAAAAAACCAGTTCTGCCAAAAGTTAAAATTTCGTATATCTCGATAGAAGTTGATTCTACGCTAACAAAAAATGAACTTCAAAAATGAAATTAGCACCGAAACAAAACTTACGAAGAAGAAATAAAGCCGGCTATCTTTGAGTAGACACAAGTTGATCTGAATAAGATATGATTTCATAAAAAAATCTTTATAGGTTTAAGTCCCACCTGAGAATGGAAAAACACAACTTGCACTTTCAACTACATCGGAAGGTGCCTACAGCACAAGAAAAAAAACATTAATGTGGCAACTAAGCTGACTATCTTTGAGCAGACACCTTTTGAGCCGAAAAACGGATTGATTTTTAAAAAATTACAAAGTTTCAAGTCCACCTCCCTGAACCTACAACGAACAATTGCACTCGCAAGTGTAATAATACCTGATTTTATCAAACAAGAATTTTTGCCCTGGAAACAGCACAGTATAAAATCACAAGGCCATAAAATACAAGCTGAAAACATTAAATCGAAAAAAAAACTAAAATTATTAAAATCAGATTTGTTAAAATGATAAGTTACAATTTTTCAACAAGCGATAAAAAATTCGAAATCAGAACAAAATCCATGCTTAACAAAAAAGCAGAAGAAAACAGTACCAAATAAAACAAATTTCATTTCACAAAAATGGGAAATGCACCGACGGAAACTAGGCACGATTCGCAAAAAAAACCAACATTTTTTCAAGAAAAATATTTGAAAACAAACTAACATCGGAAACGCACAATAATTATTTACTATCAAAATGAAGGTACTTTTATTTGGATTTTCAAGAAATTGAGCATGTCTGAAATTGAGCATGACTGAAATTTACCATTCCCACACATTTGACTATTCTGTGACTTAAATTATTTAAGGGAAAAAAAGTCTAGTACCCGATTGCCATACCCTTGATTATCGCAAGGGTAATTATTCACAGTTAGCTCGTAACACTTGTCACAGACATAATTTTTCAGTGTGCCTACGGAATTCATAATAGGGCTTTACATGAAGGCCAGATATTTTGCTTTTGTACATTTACTCCATGCGCCATGTAAATTGAATCACGCCACCAAAATTTGCCAGTTAAATTCAGCAGACGGAACGGTATAAAATTCCTTACCCTGTTGCCCTATTTAGTGAAATACATATGATGTTATTTACGTGATTTAGGATACATGATGGTGTTATAAACAACTCATCGAGCCATTGGACACAGAAACTCTGAACTGAGCAAAAAAAATCTGATAAGATCTGGTTAAGATTTACATGCAACAATTTGTTGGCTATTTTTCTGGTCTGGGTAATGTTGCTTGACCCTCATCCAACCTTTCGATTGAGAGGTGGAGACCTAACCACTTCACCACCGCTCTACGTCTCCGCCTCTCGACCGAAAGGTCTAAGGTTCGATGCTCACCGAGATCTATGCTTGACGGTGGGGAAACATTAACCAGCCCAGAAATATAACAAAAAAATTTCACTTAGTTCTTAATAAAGGGCACCAACAGCAGTATTCCATGATTGGCTGAACAGCTCGTATATTAGTTCCTTTTCTTGCGGATAAATCGCCTTAAAAGAACGTCCTTTTGCAATAATCTGGAATTCAAATCATTGAACTGATCCTTTAAAGATACTTCAATCCAAATCTTTTACAGAATAATATAGCAGAACGAAAGTAGAGTGATTCTACGCTACCTATTATGTCGACTACAATTACGAGTTTACCTCATTCGACAATCAATTATGACCTAGTCATACCGATTCGGACTGAACATTAATCGTCATTTCACGATTGACTGACACAGAATAGTAGACTGACCTGACTGGAGCTGAACCCGTGGCACCCACTGGCCCCTATTTCATTCCCATACGGTACCCCCATCCTGTCCAGGCACCCTCCAACACCCACATTTTTCAACTGAAACAAATCACAAAAATTTATACTCAAGCTGGAAACGATCTGTATCATGATTCTTTTCAGTTGCAGATTTATTGGGGGCTCTTTGACCCTCAGAAACTCGAAACCCTAGCCTCCTAAAAAGGATGCTTTTTTAGTTTTCTACGTCCATTTTCAGTCAGAAAAAAATTTGAATTTTTCTTAAGGCTCCAACATGCATAAAATTTAATCGCATCGCATCGTTTTGGTGGGAAACTTGCATGAAACGCCCAAAAATGTAACACACGCAGAAGAAACTCACTTTTGCCAAACTAAGCGACCAAAAAATCAAAGAAAATGAAACATAACATCATTCAGCTCGTTTTCCAATATATAGAAAAAAAAACTGAGATCAAAACAGAATCTTTCTGGCCAAATGAACTCTCAGCCAAATTATGCAAACAAAAAAGGTAAGAGCAAGACAAAAAAATCATTCCAAGAATATCACAACTGAACGGTTACAATCTTCAACACCTTTACTTTATCGAAAAACGCAAGGAAAGTAAATCTACAGCGAGTAAGAAAGCGAGAAAGAAAACATTTGAGAAAAGCAAGGACATTATTTCAACGACGATTAAGAAACGAAAAAACCGAACTGAAAAAATTACGTCATGTACGGTTCAACATTCGGAAATATATTTTTGAGTAGATAATCCACACTACGCACATCTGGCTGGGCCTCGAATTACGTCAGTACTAGCTTCACCAAGAACTAGTGAGCCGATCAAACTAAATTCGAAAATTGACTTCTCGTTGCAATTTGATCATTTTTGGTAAAACTGTTCACATCTCCAACCCAAAACTGTTCACATTTCCAACCCGAAAATTAGATTTTAGTAGTAAAAAATTCAATGATACTAGCGTGTAACGCACCTCCGGTGCCTCGAATTTTCAACAACTCAAACACTATTCTTTGAGTTTAATCTGACAGCACCCAATTACAGGGTTCGTAATTACAATAGTTGCCAAGTTTTTTATTCAAGTTTTTTATACAAATTTTGAAGAACCATAAAATTTTGTAAAGTTTTATATAAGTTCTTCGAAAAAGTTAAAATGAACTAAGAAACGTCACATCTAGGAAACTGAAAGCAATTGAGCAGTCGCATTTGGACGCAAGATTTGCAACTCGTGAAAGTACTCTTGCAGTACCCAACTACAACGTTGAGAAATTCAAATTTTGAGAAACTTCACCTTTTCTAAAAAAAAAAGTGTTCACATCTCGAAAAATACAAAAATTGAAGCAGTCTTTTTGATGGCAATAATCGCAATCTTTGAAAGTACGCAACTACAGGGTTGTGAATTTCACTTTAAAGAATTATTTTGTAATTTGAGTTTTCTGAAAATTTCCAGAAAAAATCACACAAATCGTCGTATCTTTTAAATAAAATGACTTGGGCATTCTTAATTGGAGGCCAAACTTACAACTCCTGAGATTACTCTGAGAGCCTCCCAACTACAGGGTAGGAAATTCGAACTTTGAAAAAAATAACTTAAATTTCATGAAACTTTTTTTGAAAAAATCACAAAAAACGTCATATCTAGAAAACTACAAGGATTTGAGCACTCAAATTGGTAGGCAAAACTCGCAACTCCTGAGAGTACCCCAAGAGCCTCACTACAGAAAAGAAAATTTCAAGTTTTGAAAAATTCTGATAAATTTTGAAAATAAAACCCAAAAAAAACGTCATATCTCGAAAACTACAAAAATTTGAGCAGCCATATTCAGAGGCAAGATTTGCAAACCCCTGAGAGTACCCTCACAGATTCCAATAACAGGATTGAGATCTTCACACTTTTAGAATTTTTAACATTTAAGTTCTTTTGAAAATTTCGGAGAAAATCATGAAAACGTCATATCTCGAAAACTACAAGAATTTGAGCAGTCATATTTGGCGGCAAAATTCGCAACTCCTGAGAGTACCCTGACAGAGTCTCATTACAGAGATGGTAATTTCAAGTTTTGTGAAATTTTTTATATCTCTAAGTTTTCTGAAAACTTTTTGAAAAAATCATAAAAAACATATCTCGAAAACTACAACGATTTGAGAAGTGAGAATTGGAGGCAAGATTCGCAACCCCTGAGAGTACCCTGAAAGCACCCAACTACAAGGTGAGAAATTTTTCTAAATAAAAATTTCTAGAAACTTTTGAAAAATCTCGAAAATTCCTAATCTCGTAAACTAAAAGGATTTGGTTATTCATAGATGAAGGCCAGAATCGCAAAACCTGGGAAAACTCTGACAATATCCTACTATTTGGTTGCTATTTTCAAATTTGATGAAACAAATACTGAATTTAAACTGGAAAATCGAAAAAAACTTAGGGTAGAAAATACGTACATGTTATTTTACTTTTAATTAGTGCAAAACAGCGGTTCAAAACTGGGGTGAGATTTCGCTTTTAGGATATAATTCGAGGGGGGGGGGGGGGGGGGTAAATAATTAGATACTAGATATCATTGGCGGACAATTGTTGATAAGATCCGCACTTGTTGACAGTTTTAGCTTGGTTGAAATTAATTTATGTACAAACTATATTAACAGAAGTGGCGCATGACTCATCTATTCGCCAGTCCAGCCAAAAGAACTGCGAAAGGCTCTGGAACAAAACTAATGTTTTCGTTTGGCGGATAATTGAATATTTCAGAAGAAAAGATGCCATATTTTTCTCATTAGGAAGAAGCATCGTGATATTTCAGAGTATTTTCAGGGTTCGTAATTACTAATGTTGCCAAGTTTTTTATTGAAGTTTTTTATACAAAATTTGAAGAACCACAAAATTTTGTGAAGTTTCATATAAGTTCTTCGAAAAAGTTAAAATGAACTAAGAAACGTCACATCTAGGAAACTGAAAGCAATTGAGCAGTCGCATTTGGACGCAAGATTTGCAACTCGTGAAAGTACTCTTGCAGTACCCAACTACAACGTTGAGAAATTCAAATTTTGGGAAACTTCACCTTTTCTAAAAAAAAGTATTCGCATCTCAAAAAATACAAAAATTGAAGCAGTCTTTTTGATGGCAATAATCGCAATCTTTGAAAGTACGCAACTACAGGGTTGTGAATTTCACTTTAAAGAATTATTTTGTAATTTGAGTTTTCTGAAAATTTCCAGAAAAAATCACACAAATCGTCGTATCTTTTAAATAAAATGATTTGGGCATTCTTAATTGGAGGCCAAACTTCCAACTCCTGAGATTGCTCTGAGAGCCTCGCAACTACAGGGTAGGAAATTCAAACTTTGAAAAAAAAATAACTTAAATTTCATGAAACTTTTTTTTGAAAAAATCACAAAAAACGTCATATCTAGAAAACTACAAGGATTTGAGCAGTCAAATTGGGAAGCAAAACTCGCAACTCCTGAGAGTACCCTAAGAGCCTCACTACAGAAAAGAAAATTTCAAGTTTTGAAAAGTTCTGAAAAATTTTGAAAGTAAAACACAAAAAAAACGTCATATCTCGATAACTAAAAGAATTTGAGCAGCCATATTCAGAGGCAAGATTTGCAAACCCCTGAGAGTACCCTCACAGATTCCAATAACAGGATTGAGATCTTCACACTTTAAGAATTTTTAACATTTAAGTTCTTTTGAAAATTTCGGAGAAAATCATGAAAACGTCATATCTCGAAAACTACAAGAATTTGAGCAGTCATATTTGGCGGCAAAATTCGCAACTCCTGAGAGTACCCTGACAGAGTCTCATTACAGAGATGGTAATTTCAAGTTTTGTGAAATTTTTTATATCTCTAAGTTTTCTGAAAATTTTTTGAAAAAATCATAAAAAACATCATATCTCGAAAACTACAACGATTTGAGAAGTGAGAATTGGAGGCAAGATTCGCAACCCTGAGTGTACCCTGACAGCACCCAACTACAAGGTGAGAAATTTTTCTAAATAAAAATTTCAAGAAACTTTTGAAAAATCTCGAAAATTCCTAATCTCGTAAACTAAAAGGATTTGGTTATTCATAGATGAAGGCCAGAATCGCAAAACCTGGGAAAACTCTGACAATATCCTACTATTGGGTTGCTATTTTCAAATTTGATGAAACAAACACTGAATTTAAACTGGAAAATCGAAAAAAACCTAATCATTGCAATATACGATATAGCTTAAACGTGAAAAAACTCTTGTTAAACATGCAAAAATAATACTTTGAAAAAGCTTAAACATAGCGAGATAGTGAAGCTCGCAAGTAAATATATAATAGATACTAGATGAAAGTTAAAAAATTAGGCGACGGGTCGACAGACAACCAAATTAATTAAAAAAACAGGTATGCAGACAGACAGACTTGGCCACGAAAAAAAAATACTGAAAAATAAATGACCTTGCGGAAAACTAATAGAAAAATTTTCTTAAGCATTGCAATATAAGATATAGCTTAAGCATGAAAAAATTCTCTCGTTAAACATGCAAAATTATTATGGTTAAACATGGGAGATAGCTGTCACTCGCATTTAAATATAGTATAGATATAGATGGATAGATATAGTTAGATAGATAGATGTAACAAATTCAATAATGTAACCCAATAGGAAACTTATGAAGAAACGTCTAAAGAAATACCACAAAAAAGAAATGAACCATAAATTATATATATAACCTCAACGCCTTTATACATTCAAACTCAGAAAATTAAGGAAAATTGCGAAAGGAGCAACTTTTCATAAAAAATGAACCATTTAGTTTGAAAAGACACATATAAAAATGAAGCTAAAAAAACAAGTAGAGACGGTTGCGACCTCGAGATTTGAAGACTCACGCCCTGCCTCTCAGCCACGAACTCTTACCAATCGGTAAACTATAGTAACAAATGAAGCAGCTACAATGCTAATGAATTGCCAATGCCATGCAGCAAAAGTGCCACCAAATATGAATAGAGACAAAGTTGCAGGTTATATCTTGGAATATAACAAGCTGAAGACACCACACTAACTTGGCATGTAATTAACTGGAAAGTATAAAGCCACATTATGTATAAAATAAGCATTTAAAAAAATTGAGTTGGAAAATTTCTGAAATCGCGTTTTTATTATTTATGTGTTTGAAACAAATAGATTTGTTTTTGTTCATTTGATGATTTAACACAGAGGCGAAGCTTCGCTTCGTGAACACTAGCGAGAACACGACAAAAAGCAGCTCAATAAAAAGCAAAAATAAAAAGTACAAATAAGCCTTGAATTAGCAAAAAATTCAGCTACATCCGAGAAACAAACCTGCGACCTAGAGATTAAGAGTCTCACACACTAACCACTCAGCCAGGGACGCTTAAAAGGGGTCAAACACTAGTCACAAAAAAGCAGAGAACAGATGCTATGCAATTTCCAATGCTACAGTGAAATTTTAAATTAAGTGAACACTTTAAATGAACACTTTTATTTGCGAGTTAGGTTAGAAAAAAAAGGTTCGTAATAATACACCAAGCTGACGCAAAAAAGCATCAATTGTTAACTTATTAGTAATCGAATGTTAAAGCACATGCTATCAAAAAGTCCTAAAGGTGCTTCCAAAAGTAGCACAAATATTTGCGACTAAGGTTGAAAAAAAAGAATAGTCATACTATTACACTACGCTCACTTTATTTCGCTAGTGTAATGACAGTTTAAAATTGGCACTCTCTTTGGAACACTTTGCAAAACTACAGACCTCTCCCCAAATGATGTTCTTGTGTGGTCTGGGGTAGTATTTGGGAAGATCATAGGCCACATTATCCATGAACCACTTGAACGAGTTCCTCTCCTTATCCGCATTACACTGCTCTCTAAACAAAACAGAGTATAAACAGCCAAACTGCAAACAAAATTTAAAAGAAACATCAATGCGATCGAGTGTTAAATAAAACATATGTAAGCATGATTAAATAAAGAGAAACTAGCTGACGTATAAGCTAACCGAAATATTCGTAGCATACAACCGAAACAAAAGAATTTTGCATTGAAACTTGCTATGTTTACGTATTTAGCATAACTTCTTATAAATTTGACTGGCTCATATGTTAGCTAAATTTTACATCGGGTAGTTTATATTATATCCTACCAAATACTTACATTATTGATCCAACGAACTCATGAACTCGACAAATTTATGCATCTCAAATTTCAAGGCACAATTCGCATATTTTAGTGTCATTGATCTAATCACAAGAAAGACTTCTTACCTGATTTTCTTCATGGCAGACACATCCCCGTAGTTTTTGCCCACTAAATTGGGTCTAGAAATGTAGAAGTCCTGCTTGTACTCATCCATCCACACTTCCGCCACTCGCATGTGGTTCTAAACAACAATTTTTTTTACCAATGTTTTCTTGATGTTTTCACGTATATTTTGTCACTTCCTTTGAAGATTTCCAATTTCGTATTTCATTCGATAAAACTGGCAGTGCTTGTAACACAATTGGGTTCCTTAGCTGTCCCCTCACTGTTTCTGGTGCTTCATGTTATAATTTTCGTTTCGGCATATTCACCATTAACAATGAGAAACAAGGATATCCGGTTACTGTGAATGTAAAAAACAACGATTTAGACAGTTTTTTTTTCCAAATTAGTGTAGTTTTTGTGCTCGGTGTGAGAAAAGGAGCTGACGTATAAATATAATTTAGGCATATTAGACAGTCGTAGTAAAATAGGCCAATTGGACAAAAATAAAACTAGTTTTATTTGCTTAAAATTAAGTTTTAAGGTCTTAAATTAGGCATAATTCAGCTTATAAGCCTGCTCGCGTGCTGTATTCTTTCGAATTAGGACAAAAAATCAAAAAAATTCAAACCGGTTTTTCTCGACACTGGGAAAAGTGTTTGGAAATTTCTAACGTGATTCGAAACACGAATGTAAGGGCTTTAATATGATATATCACTCAACGCAGTCCGATCATTATTTGTGGTACTTAATTTTGCGTGGAAAACAAAAAAACTAAAACAGGCCTGGATACGAAGTTCCTCCCCATTTTCAATGGTCGGAACAATGAATTCTTTTTCTTCTTTACAGATTCACTTACCACACAAGAAGATACTCGAATTCGATCTACAGTATGTTTAGTTTTTATATGACAAACTGTGTACGTTATTCAAGATATCAATCAATATCGGGAATTTCTAAACAATTACCCCAGATTTCAAAAGTGAGGGATTCGCCCCTAATTACACATTAAAACACGCTTACCCATTAGACTAGTTCATAATGAGGCGAGTCTTCGTTACTGAGTACAATAGGGACAGGGAAGTAATATCTAGATCCAATTTGTGCTTATAAATGAAATCTAAAACATTAATTACCAGGTCTCCCCATGAAGTTCCCTCAGTTCCAGGCGCTGTTGGTCCAGGGGCGGGATCGTAGGCTCTGTATCCAGGCACGTATGGTCTGTAGATGTGTCCCACTCGAGAACAAGGCACAAACAAAACTTCACCGCCACACATCCAGGCCTGCAAAAAGATGTCCATTCGCATTTACTTTCTCATTTTAATAAAAAAGAGAAGTGGAAGCATTATTTCAGAAGTTAAATCTGAAGGTTTCAATAAAAACACATGTGTGTTTCAAAACCACTTGAATAGACCAACCAGTGCCCTGATGGCTTAACCAACTTTGAGACCAATGTGTAATACAAAAATGCATTACGAAAATAAGCAGAAATCTTATTAGTTATTACTCAAATATATAAAAACTAAATTGAAGTGCCATTATGTGCGGAAAGCTTCCAAATATGTTTACTTTGAACGATATCTCGTACTGTTCGGCCCCCCATATCTCCAGTCCCCTGTCATAGCCCCCCAGTGCCCAGAAGAAGTCCTTGTCCACTGCGAACAGACCGCCTGCCATCACTGGAGACCTGAAGCATCATCCAATTATTAACAGCATCGTTCATAAGCTCAAGAGAACGTAGAAAATTTTCTGGCCCAAAGCATAATAAGTGTCATTATTAGTCAAATGTCCAATGGCACCTTTGTTAATTTGAGACAAACAATGAATTCGGTCCTGACATATATAATCCTCGGTTCCAACAATTTCACAAAGAAGACCATCACAACATTAACACTCGCAGGTTTTTAAATCTTTAGGAATACATCTAATGAATAAACCATTCAAGCTGTGGGACGAAACTCCATAGTTACGAAATCATTCTTTAGATAGTAACAGTATTTTCTTACCAATAAGGTTCGCTTGTGTATTTATGTTTGTCTAGCTCTCGTTTAGGCACATCGTATCTTTTGTAATTGAAGTCCCAGTCAAATCCACCCTGAGCATGTTCTCGCGATTGAGGTCTCATTTCGAACGTCATCGCGTCAATTACATCAACAAGGGGAACTGTTACTGCTTTTTTATTTAGGGCAATCGGGGTCACCAAAGGTGGGTACCAGTTCGGACTGGCTTCGCAGTGAGCGTCGAGGAATATCAAAACTTGACCTCTAGTTGCAGCTTCAGCTCCTAATATCCTCGCTCGGATCAAACCCTGACGACCGCCTTTCTTCTGACTCCGGACTATTTTCACCAAGTCGCCGTAAGTTTCGCTCATGTGGTCTTCAAGAGGTGTGGCCAGATTGGCCCTGGAACTGGCATCGTCAAAGAGAACCACTTCAGCCAGATACTCTGACGGAATTGTGTTGACGGCGGAGTGCACCGTTCTAATTACAGTGCCAAGTGGTTCGTTGTGGAACACAATGATGACGGAGGCATTCGGCAGAAGTGTAGGGTAGTCCCAATTTTTGCACCTAAAATGAAAATATTTCAGAAAAGATACAAATCGCGAGAGTGAAGTGACCAAGAACCTCGCCAGTCAGTCCAACTGCCGGCGGTTTGAGGTACTTAATGATCCAATCTGCTCACATTGTTTAGATTCAACATTACATCGCCCAGAAAAATAACCAAAAATTGGATGTAGTTCTTAATCTACCAAAAAAGCAATTCACCACAAATAAAAAATATCACGCATGTTGAACTTTTCCCTTTTGGATAAAACTGTTACACGGCTTTGTAGATAATAAGCATAAAATAGGTTTCATAACGCAGCCACGAACGTTCATTCCAAAATTATTTGATATTAAGTTGTCAAACGCCTAAAATTAACTTAAATTTCTGTCTCCGTCAAGAAAGCCTTGGGGTGTTTCGCAATATAAACATACCCTTTGATTATAACTGATCAAAACAATATACAAATTTTACTTCTGAAATTTAACGGGAAAACTTCGTGTTCATTCTACCGAACGGTCACTTATCAACTACTTCAATCATATTTCAAACAATACTTCAGCTATTTTCCGTAATGCTTTTCATCTGATTACGCTAAGTTAAGGACGGTTTTAAATTTCACTTATAGTTTTTAACACGTCAAATGAGCAGAAAACAGCACAGAAAGCAATCAAAAATTGAAATGGTCGACAATTTTAACCCCAAATATCGAATTTTTACACGTAAAGTTTTGTTCAAATTGCTCGGTTGTTACAAAAAATGTCAATTAGTTAGACCATTAGAAAAAAAAATAATCTTTTTACTAAACCTAGTAACAGCACTCGTTGCACCTTAAAAATGATGCTTATGTGAGGTGGGGAGAGGAAAGATAGCCGCTTTCCCTCATCATAATTAAGCCCACTGTGCGGCCGAGATAATGGAAAAGATAAGACATAAGGGTCAGTTGAAAATTCAGATGGTGATGGGGGGGGGGGGGCAGTCACTTAGTCAGGAGGGCAAAGACATCATTTAACTCACTCTGGTTCTCGCAAGTCCTTCGCTTCTCTGTCGTAGGATATCTTGTCGCTCACAAACATGTTGAAGCCATTCTCTTTGATCTTCTTCTGCTCTTCATCCTTCTCTGCCTTCTCAGCGTAAACTGGCCTTCCGAACTCGCCCGGTCCCTCTCTGTGGCTCTTCGGTTTCTCAAAGTTGCCCAGTTGCGATCTCATGATTGGCGGGTGAAGGGTGCGCTTAGCATCTGTCTTCACCACGCCAGGCAAATCATCCTGTACAGCAAACAATGTAACAACACCCCATTAATTGAACGCAGAGGAGAAGCAAAATAACGGGCAGTTGCGATTGCAAGCTAGCGAAATTTAAAAAAAAGAGACGTAAATCTCGTTTTTTAATAATTGACAAAATAAGATAATCTCAATTTCAGAAAAAAAAACATTCGAGAAAAACAGCATTAAATAAGTTTTTGCCGACCGGCTTCGAAGCCGACAATACTTGGGTATACGCTCGTTGATGAGCCGAAAACAAAAAAAAATCGATAACAAAATGCCATTATTTTTTTTGAGCGATTAAAATTTAAAATTTGAAGTTTTTACAACCCATCACCTCTAGGATACTCAAAAAAATCATATTTTGCGCTTGAAACCATAAGGTGACTCAGCCGCTAAAACTTATGTTGAAACTATTTGATCGGAATTTTTTAATGAAAAAAAAACTTAAAACAACGACTGTGAATTCTGGAAAAAAATTGTTCAAATCAGAAGAGAATTCTATGCTTGAGAAATTCAGCCGACGAAAATGAGCAGACAAACAGCATTCCGAAAATTCAATTTTCCCCAGAAAAAAGTCAATTACTGCAAACTTACTAAAAAAAGGTCCGACTGTGATTCAAACGCCACACCTTAGGGTGCAAAGGTACTCGCGTTACCGCTGGCACAAGAGAGAAGGATTCTTAAAGTTATTTAGATTCAAAAACAAAGTTCAATTTCTTACAGATTTGTCCTAAAAGTTGTTATGAAGAATATCTGGTTCCCGATTGCGAAAAAAACTTGCTCCTGCAAATGAAAATTATGAGCCGTCAAGGCGAATCTATTCTGTAAGGTGACAATTTGTAACAGGCGACAACATGTAACAATTGATTAGGTAGCAACTTTGGCAGCTACTGATTCATGCGCGTTGTTCCTCTCGCGCCAAATGTAAGCTCAGCGGGTAGCAGAGGACGCTTCCTGTCAATGGTATGCTACGAATTGTCGCCGGTTACAAACTGTCGCCAACCGAACTATTTGAGAACTAGTCCCTAAAAGCTTTTAAAAATCCTTAAAGGAAACAATTACCGTAACAAAAAACTGAAAATAAATGACCAAAAACGACAAAGGCTTGTTGATTTAGTACAAAAATTTAACACTGGACCTATGTTAAAACAAATTTCCCCAGCTTGATTGCGCAAAAAAAATGTATAATTAGGACACTCACCTCGCTCATGCGTTTGAATTTTGGGTTGCTCTCTCCCTCTTCGCCAAATTCACCGTCCGATTCAACTACAAAATAATGCACCAGAAAAAGACATGTAGTAAAAACAGCACAGAATTTGATCCAAGTCTTCAACTTCAGCCTCATTGCGACAGACAGACAGGCGGCTAAGTTCAAAGTTATCTAACCACTTGAGTTCTTTTTATGCAAAGCAGTGCAGATAATATAAGAGCACGGAGAGTAATATTGAACTTGGTACAGCTAGTCGATTCAATAAGGCGAGGAGAGGCAATAAATGCAAACAAATAGTCTTGCAAGAAAGAGTAATAAAGTAACACTAGTTGGTAACTAAATAAAGAGGAGCGGCGGAACAAAGACAAAGAGTAGCGGGGGTTGTTGTGTCTGGAGGCGACCAATATCTGGTCAGGAAAATTTTGGGTTACAAACTGTGGTCGTGGTCCAGGAGATGAAATAATTTGCACCTCAGCTGGTTACTATTTGATAATTGCAGATTGTAATGCAATATGAAGCTCCCTTGTAACGTACCCCTTTGGAATGTTTTTTAGTCCGGGCAAATAAAATAATGGTGATAACAAAATGCTCGCGCGGTAGTATTCGATTAACAAGAGGTGCTTGCGTGGATGTCGAGTGATTGATTTTCTCAGTTGGCACAAATTATTACACCGGACTGCCTTTGATAAACGAAGAAAAAATTAACGAAAAAAAAATAATGAGTGCGAGCAAACAGGGCGTGCTGTAAAGGTCACTCACAGGCCAACTAAGAGATATGACTTCTTTTATTTTTACTAATCTAATTTAAGGCCACTAATGGTTTCGTGGGCGCCGAAGTACTAACTAGGCCAATGCGCACCCTGTCTATGCTATTCTAAGTCTACCACAACAACACACCAAGCAAACAATAACAACTGATCTGAAATTGGTCAACCGAAAATTACGATACATTTATTACCTTTATTGGGTCTACAAAAAATGTATTTTGATCGGGTTCATTAATTGATTCGAATTAAACAGATGAAAATGGTTATAATTCTATACAAAAATACTCGTAAAATTTTTTCGTAAGAATCAGCGAAAGTTACAGAAGAAAATTTTTGCTGTTTTCTACAGGTAATCAGTTGATGGTAGAAAATTTACCAACTGTTTTGTGACTGCTGCGCTGTGACAAACACAAAGTCAGAAAGTCTAACAAAGATACGGTTAGAAAAGATTATTATTACTTCACTTATCGCATCTCGCTTCCTTATTCAGCCCAGCGTGACACATTTTGGGGCGCACAAATAACCAAATTTGCAATCATTAAAAGCGTATTGTGACATTTGAGGGGGCGAGGGGAAGGGGTTTTGACAGTCTTTATTTTCCGGCTGAAAACACCAATGTTTACAGAATAGCTGAACAAATTACAACAAACAGTTCCTTCTCCGTTCAGGACGCCTTCCGACTTACTGGCATTTGCTACCTGATTGAAGAACGCAGCGGAGTGAAGTAGTTAAATATCACTACAATTCAAACCTTTATTGGTAACTGAACACAACAGGAACACTTCGAACCACTTAAGCGCACCCTTCAAAAATTAAGCAGAGAAAAGAATAATTAAAAATGATCGAGGAAAACCACTTGAAATACCCGGTAATAAAAAGACCGCATTACCATTTCTCAACACGCAAAAATATAGAAAGAAAAAGGAGGGCTATTTTTATTTAAAATTTGAAGGCAAAATAAACAGAATTCCCAAAACATAGTTTTTATTGCAAACCCACCTTGCACTGTTTTCGATAATACTTATTACACAGAAGCGAAGCTGAGCTTCGCACCCTTTGCGATACACGAAGCAACTGACTCGTAAAAAATGACAAAACGCCAAAAAGAACAACACCCGAAATTTCTAAACGTTTGTTCCAAACTGAACTTCATTTTGATGAAAACCTGTACCAAACCACAACAGTCAGTATTGAACTAGCCTGAAAACTCCGAATGGCGCTACAAAATTTTCAGCAGTAAGAAAGACAAAATCAAAAAAATCTGAAAAATTGAAAACATTACGTGAAAATATAATTTGAAAAAATTGGAAAAACTACAGCTACAAAAACTTCATGGATGTATCGGATGAAATTCATGAACAGTCTCAAAACAATTGGAAACCATTCATCGAGCAACAAAGGCGGCATATTTTGGGTCGAAACCTGTTGAACCTAAAACTAAACTGTTGTCATAAAAAATTTCATTAAGTTTTTTAAGTTTTTACGACCCATCGATACTGAAGCACATAATCCTAAACGAAAAAATGTTGCTTTCAAAAGTACCCAATATAAGTTGAATGAGCCGAAATAACAAACTGTTTATGCAAAAAAAAATGAAAAAAAAATTACGCAAAATCAGACTTGGTAAATTTACAAAATACTGAACTTTCAGTTATAGTAAAAAACTGCTTAAAACGGAAGAAAACCCATGCTTTAAAAATTAGGCCAATAAAAACCCTACCAAATCAAAAATGTGCGTTCAAAAAACGGAAAATTAACCCGCAGAAACTAGGACGAAAACCACGAACCCGAAAAAAAAATGAATCATTTTTTTGAAAAAATAACTACACCCGGAAACATTCTTTACCTAGTCACTACTTAAATGATGGTAGTTTCAATTGACTTCTAAGAATTTGAGCATGTCAGAAGGTAAATATCATGTCTGGTAAATATCATGTCTGATATTTACCATTCTTACTTAAATGACCATTCTGTGAACAAAGTTATTTACGGGAAAAAAGTCTAGTACTCGATTGCAATATCATTGCTTATCGCAAGGGTAATAGTTATATAATTCTGAAGAACCACTTTCAATAAAAACTTATTTTCATCCAGGCAAAATTATATCAATGAAGTGCCATGTCAATAAATCATGTTACTGAAAAAAAAAACAGAGAAAGTAGCAGGGGCGGATCTAGGATTTTCTCGAGGGGGGTGCGGATTTTCAAAAAATTTCGAAGTAGATAAATTATATGGGCAATAAAATTTTGGCGCTAAATGTGTAATGGCTATAAAATCTGCTTTTATACACGTGAACTAATACTATGACCGATATCCAAATCTCAGAGGGCGCAATGGGCCATATAAATTTGTGTTCATCGTTTTGCTTATCAAAATATACAACAATAAATCCTAACCCGTTCTCGCCAGGAGATTAATCACAGGAAAAAAGTAACCAGCGAAAGCCAACCCGGATGATTAAACCCCACTGGTCTGACTCAATTATCGAGACAACAGGGCTATTTATGACCCCTTGTTCATAATGTTCAAACCGAATTGATCATAAATAAAAGAGGAAACAGAGATTTGTTCATGAAACAGACTGGTACAAAAGCCGAAAAAGATGTGACTTGCTATCAAAAAAAAGTTAAAATAGTTCACCATATTTAATGAACTGTTCTAGGGCTTCACCCAAATAAAACAAAATAAATTGGAAAATAAAAAAGTAACTTTTGTCTGCTTTTTTCCGGTCAGTCGAACAGGTTTTCTGAAATCTCCAAATTGACATTGAAATAGCCAGTTATGCTAAATAACAAGTAAGCTAAAAATCAGAAAAAAATCCTAGTTTTTGGAAAAGTTCTCAGATAATCTAATCATCACTAGGGAAAAAACGAACAAGAATAGTAACAATTTTTCGACTTAACGTTCAGGCTAATTCCTATTTTCGATCCCAAAAATACCAGTGAAGATAATATCCTGTTGACCTGATAAGGGCGTCCGATGTCTGACCATCAAAAGGGATGCTAATGCCAGCAGAGACATAACATCTTCATCGATTTTGTTTGATCTCGTAAGTAGCCAAAATAATGCAACAAATCCGAAAAATAAAAGCTGAACTAAAAATACTCGATCAACTCAACTCAAAACACAAGATAACTGTTATTTTTTGCAAAAACAAATATTAGTTTTTGAGTGAAAACATTACTTTCAGCACCAGCATGTGCGGAGCGGAGCACGCTCAACTTCAAGTCAACACAATGTTCCTTTAAAATCTAACTTCAGTCAAAATAATCCTTATACATCATGTCTGAATTACACAATAGACATCTTCAAACAAGGATAGCCAGTTACTGTGCAAGTAGCACAGAAGGTTCCGACCAGTCTTGAAAAAAATGCATTTTATTTTTTTTTTCAATTTGTGTCGTTTCTCTGCGTTTTGCGATAGAAGGATCTGAACGAAAAACTAGAACTTATGCATATTCGACAGTCATAGTACATAAGCGAATTGAACAACAGTTTTTGTAGAAAATGACAAGACAAAAAAAAACAATTTTTTCAATGTTTAGAATCACGACTGAAAGCGCTTGAAAATGATAAATCACTCAACTCAGTCCGATGATTATTTGTGGTACTTCATTTTGCGTGAAAAAAAGAACACACCGAAATACAAAATTCTTCCCCATTTTTGCAACGTCGGAACAATAATTGGAATCTTCAAATATACAAACATCACGTGGAAAAAATGAACTCAAAATCTTGGCGCTACTTAAAACAAATTTCACGCTAAATGGTTCAATAAATTGGAAAAGTGTTATATTCCTCAAAATAGCAGGCTTCCCAATCCTCTTTGCAAAATTCGGACACGCCTTTTATTTCAGTTTAAATAAAACCTGAGTTGAAATCAGATGATAAGATTTAAGAGATCATATTGAAAATATCACAGATAAAAATTTCTTTGTTAAGTAACTGAAAGTTCACTTAATGTCTTATTTATAAAAAAAAACTGTGACCTAGGAAATAAAACAAGCAAATTAGACAACCGTAAAATAATTGAATTTAGACGATAAAAGTTTGTGAATTTAGACAATACAAAATGGGCCATTAACATTTTTGTTTAGAATGAAGTTGCACAAAAACAACAAAAAGAGTATAAAATCACAGAATTGATCAAAATTATTATTTTAAATTAATTATATAACGTTAAATCGAAAAAGTATAGTACATTTCTGAAAGAAATAAAATATACAAGTGTGACATTAATCAGCTGATTTGCGCTTGGAAAAAAAAAGAATTTACTCTTACTCAAGCAAAAGTTAATTTAAATCTAAAAACAAATTTCAGTAAACAAACACAACTTGCACACAAGCTATAGTCTAAACTCCGTTACCTTGTTAAAGTCTAAATTGCTTGTCGTTTTATTTCCAAAACCTCAAAAACTAAATGATATTTAAAC